ACACGAAAACCGACTCACTTGTACTTACCAGCAACCGAGGAAAGGACAAAGTGCACACTGCGTCTCGTGGTGCAAAAAGAGCTGGCACAATCTAGACTCACCAGGCGCAAGACGCTGGACGTCCGGTAAATAGAGTCGATCCTCGTGCAGGCGTAAAGAGTTCAAAACGGTAAAATGAAACAAACCATTAGCCGTCACGGTGGGAAGCCCTAGCTTGGAGGATTAGTGATATCTTCTACCTTCTGTTCTTTTCTTCTGATCTGTTCTTCTTCTGTTCATTTCAAGACCGTGCATACACCTGCTGCAACCCACCTACAGAGAACACTGTCATTTTCATGCTTGCTGAACGAGGCCAACTTCTGCATGACGGTGTATAAGACAAGTTGTAGATAGTCTTCAAGATTTCTGGCAACTCGGTTATAGCGATCAAAACAAGCATGAATCATACACAACAGAACAACAAGATGCATGCAATGCGCTATTTCTGAAACGACCACAATGGATGCGTTGCTCATTTTTAATTCATGTCTACCACATTGTTTTAAAAGTGAATACAAAGTATAAACAAAGGGGGCACATGTAAACGAAACAGGAGCAATCGATTTCCGGGCGGAGAATTCAGACGCCAACGTTTCGCAGTACTGTCTTTTCTTTGACGCTCACGAGAACACCTCGTATCTACCTGCAGTAATTAGACCTTCAAAATAATTGAATGATAACTCACTATCCACTGACTAAGTCAAGAACTCGTTCAACTTATGGTGACTGGTTGCTGGTATTCGCGGGGGAGTTGATGAAGGACTAGCCATAGGGTCGGTATTTTACTTCTGCATAATACAGCAGAGTGCGTGGCTTAAGCGCAAGAGTTCTTTCAGCTGTATGGAACCTCACCAAATAAAATACGACAGCTTGATTAACACTTTTTGGCTACTATCCTTTGACGATGTGTTAGCTGTTTAATTTACAGCTGAGAAACCTATTTCAAATGATGTTTGTATTCTGGCCATTTTTAACTAAGCAATAAACCGAAATAAGGCAATCTGATTCATCCAGCTTTTACTAAACATTTAGACCACGAGCCGCATCTGGAGTCAAATTGACCAGACAACATGCTGATCAACGAAAGAGCGACTAGGAGCTGTGAAACTGGAACGATCATTCTGACCGCTTGGTCCTCGCGTGGAGCGTCCCAATAATCAAGGAAGCGTTCATTCGCCCTTCCTAATACAACCACAATCCACTCAGTATCCATGTTGCACAGTAAGCAGTACAGCGTTGAATATGGCATATCTATACTTTGATATATGAACACGCTTGCGTTCAAACTTACGGTTTTGACACTAATGATGTTCGTTTGCCGCAACACATCCAACTGCGTTTTTCTTCGCTAGTGGTTAGTCGTCGACACATGTTTGACTCTTCGTAGCTGTCCAAGTTTTTCAAACTGTCAAAGTGGATTTGACGCAGGACCAGCGAATTTGTTGGACACGGTATAGGTCAGTTCATCTGATTTCCATCTGCTGACGGGGATTTGGAGGGACAGGCATCATGTCATCAGGCAGCTGTGTTTAGGAGCAGTAACCAAATAATGACGAAGAAGAGAAGACACAACTGAGCTACTATCTTAGTGACGATCATTTTCTGCCAATTACATCTGATTTGGCGTTCCACCGGTCGTTAAGCACTTTAATCATAGGAGATTGGAAAACCACAGTTCTGCTTGTATAGATGGTTTCACAATTCACTGGAAGTACAAATGCTGCGCCATTTTTTGACTAGCACCGAAAGGCATGAATTAGGGGTGCCAATGTCCGTTAATCGGTTTCAGGTTAGCTGACAAGCCGGACTTGGCAACGATAACTTTGAGAATCGGCATTACGCGACTTTGAAAATATCACGATTGTGAGGAGGCCAGAATCCACAAGCCTTGCTCCGATGTTGTGGTGGCAATCCGCAGCTCTCAAAGGAATTCCGGTAGGCCAGTCGTGAACATTGTGAATTATAACAAAACATTAAATCAGAGCAACCTATAAATTATTTGAACCAAAAATTATGGTTGTTGTAATCGAGTGAGGATGAATTTCTTTGTCCAACTTACAGTGAGACAGTATTTTTTTTGCTGTCATGCGACCAGTTTAGTAGTGCGAGCAATAAAATCATGAGAGCCATGAGATTTTTGTTCATACATATCCACCAGGATGTGAAAAATCAAAGTAAAATAGGTCGGACCTACGTGATTTGCGATCATCGCTACAGCTGTCCACCAGTTCAGCGGGTAAGTCATCTTTAGTTTGTTGGTGACCTTAGTCCACGTTAAGCAAATGAAAACAAAACAGACGTGGCTGAAAAATGTCCAGGTATTGAAATCACATCGTCACATATTGTTATGGAGTGTTTCAGATTTATAAAGACCTTCAAGTCAAATTCGTTTTGAACTCTTTCTTTAAACAAAAAAGCAAGGCAGTCATTCGATAAACAGCCATGTTTTCAACTTTCATAATCATTTTTCCAACAAAACGCGCTCAAACTTCCAGAAGTAATTGCAACCCTAGTTTTTTATACCTTGAACCAAATGCTGAAACAGCTTGCATCGAATCTCAAGCCTACAATTTTATTCAGTTATTGTTGTTGTTCGAATATTCCAACAACCGCTTAACCTAAATATTTGGAAATTCACACGAATAGTCATGATTCTTAGAACAGTTGATAGACAATCTACGGAAGATATTTTATTTGAACTGCTCCAGTCTAGAGGAACGCAGTAAAACACCAATCTCACTGAGAACCTAATTTTCTCGGTGTCTACCAGGCTAGACACTAACATGAGGTTTCTGCCAGACAGATTGACAGCACTTTCCCAAGGATAAATAAATTCGTAAAATGGCAGCAGGCATAAAAGTTAGCCGGGTCTTTCTTAGTAATCTAGTGACACATCACTTCTCTTTTAAATCTTCCAGGCTGATGGGTTGACCAGTTAAGCGGTCCGAAAGAATGCTAATACCGTGACACTTCACCACTCTGTTACCCTAATGCGGCTAGGTTATGCCTTAGACGTTTTGTGCCTTTTTGTATGCGCTTTTGGTCTTGACACCAAGACTTTCGGAATTCTTACTTTAACCCAATAAGGGAATCATTAGGCTCATATGCCTGGTCTGTTCTCGTAGATGTGTGCACCATTAGCAAGATGACATCAGCGATAAGATCAAAGTATGGGCTGGGTTAGTCTATCATTTTTTTTACAAACGGTGGTGATAATATAAAATTGGCGTTATCGTGTAACAATCTCGTGTCAGTATAAATGGCGGGAATAACAAGAACACCCTGTAAGAACTTGTATATTGAAAATTATTAGGCCTGCTGGTCAACCTGGGTACATATCTCCAAGGTCGACATAATCTTCGTGTCTCCAGGCTTGCAGTCTTTTTCAAAGAATTAGTTTAAAATTTTAGCAACTCACAAAGTAGCTGTAAATTCTCCGACAGCCCACGACAGAATTTTCTATCCATTATGCACATCAGGTAGCTGGAAACCTTCCATCAAATTTGTGAATGGAACGTCAGCTGAAGCAAATATATTCTGATGTGCCTAATGGGACACTAGATGGCCCTTGTAGAGCACATTGAGTTACAAAGATATCAGGTAGAGACTTAAATGCCGTTCATTTGAGTTTCCTGTCTCAACTGCGTGTGTCTAAGGTTCACGGTACAGCAGAGGCTGATCAATAATTTCACTTTTACCGAATGTTCCAGAATGGATAGGACAAGGTCTTTCTGTGTAAGCCAGAGGTGATGTAGTAAGACGCAAAAAATTACTTTCACGATTCAAAGGTTATATACACTTACTAACTCTTACTAATCAGCTATTGTTGTGCTTAATTCTGTTCACCTTCAGGTCAGGTCTATGGCGAATTTCGCAGGGCGAAATTTAGCAAGTCAGCCTCTATCCTCACTATGAACAAATGGGGTAACGAACTGTTCTCACCGCAGTCTAATATGAATAAATTGATGACTCATTTACTCAGCATGTACAGGAAGCACTTTCATTTATACGACATGTGAGGTCCTCTTAAGTTAGACGCTCGAACTTTATATCTTCACTCCTGTAGTATTCTCACCTGTCATATGACCGTCCACTGTAGTTCATTGATTCCTTCGTGTGATTTATTTTATCGTAGTTTAGCCTCTTTACGCCAAGAGGACCAGACGAGAGGACGTATCACAGATCAGTCTAGTACAAATAACCAATTACCTGCTTAGGCTGGAGATGACATGCCTTTGTAACTGCGGTGAAATTCAGAATCGTGGTGGACAGATTCATCAACTGGACACAACCATCTTGACAGATGCTGTCATTCCCAGCATGTGACCGCCAGACGACTGCGATCAAAATTCAGTTGGAGTTCGAGGACTGCAACTCAATGGCTACTGTCTTAATTTGGACTTCAGATAAAAACATACATAAATTCGAAATTCAGCTGGGTTCCAGGTCAGTCTATGTGGAAACCAAGTTGGTTTGCAAATGAGTGTATTTCGCTAAGTTAGAATGTGCTTAAAACACCTTCCGGTGTTTAGGTGTGACGCCACCAGAAGGAAGCACGAGGGCTGGGATACTGCCAGGTTGCCAAAGCCTAGACAAGAGAAGCCGCGAGGCGGAGATCGGTTTGAACCACAGACCTTCCGATCAGCCAATTCGCGTCCTAGCTAATTGGACCAACTTTGATATTTCGGAATCTTTTCTCCTCAGAATATTTGTTTATAACAATTGAGCATCAGTTTATAATCGTGGTACATTTTTCTCTATGATGATGAAGGTGATGCAGAGTTGACGAATCTTTTACACCCTTCAATCTTCCATGATCTCCTCGTAATAAAGTGTTTCTAATTACCCCCTGTCCATGTGTCATCAGAAAAAGTGCAATCCAGCTAGAAGAACTTGTGATAAAAACAATAAAAACCAAAAAGTCATGAGATGACTTCAATACTGCAGCGTTATCACTATCCATGATCAACGAACGTGATTGCTTCATCACGTGATACCATTAGGAACGCCTAATTGGTCGAAATGCTTTGTCAAGCGTTGGGCGTGTCATCCAAGTTATCTAAATCTGGGAGCAGCATTTCTCATATATATTGTTTTCAGAAAGGTTTCAGACAGCTATTTTTCACGAAGTCCGGGAATGAAACCTCGTGCAAGTCTTTCGTATAAATTATTATTTTAAGTCTGCCAATATGTATTGTATTAAACCTGAATGTATCCAGCAAACATCGCTATGCAGATATTTAAGTCATGGAAACCCATTTTCTAAAAAATGCCTGGAATGGTACAATGTTCACCACTTCTCCTCTATGCACGCTAGCAGGCAAACAATTTCGTGAATTTTCGGTTTAGGGGTTGTTTATTTTACAGTAAGTCATCCTTAGTCGACCTAGGCCATTCGGGACTCATAAATTATTAGAGGAAAAGGGCAAACTCCTATAAAAATATTTTAGGCCCACGATATCGACCCACGACAAGTTTGATTCATTATTCCATCCAAATATGTTTGGTTATCTGGCAAGACGCCTGGGATTTCATTAAGACACTCCATATAATAATGTTATTGTAGTGGTCTTCAAGATCACGAAATTCGGAGGAATAACCTCTTAATATATATATTATATATTATATATACAATATGCATTATATATTATATTCTGCAGCGTGCTGTTGTTGAACATATACATGATAATTTTATAACTAATGTAATGTAATACTAATGTAATAATGTAATGATAATAATAATAAAATGCAATATAATACATAACATTTTTCAGTCCGAAACGTACTACTAGAGTAATAATAACTGCAAATTTTACTTTCAGTCTGTTGCCACCATGGATATACAAGGCTTAAGTAATGCCTAATTTTGACTTGTTATCTAAAGAACACATTGAATATGATTTTTGATCATGTCCTACTCAAGCATGTAAGTTAAGCAAGCGCCCCGATATTTTCCGGACACCAAAACAGCTACATATTTTATTCAGTTGTGTATAGTTACTAATAAATATAATTTTACTGCCATAGAAGCAGTACGTTTTAGTTTGGTGCGAATTTCAGCTCTCCTTGTCCCACTTTTCCTTGAAATCTAATTCAATTTGATAACAAATCGTCTGAAATTCAATAGATCTAAAGACGAGGCTTGCATCTTCCAGATCTTGAATGGGCATGTCCCATTCTGCTATATGATCTCATAAGACAAAAATGAAAAAAGGAAGGATTTTCTGGTTGCCTCTGAGCCTACACTCAAATCCGAGCAGTTTGCATTTTTCATTGTTTTTTCTGTGCGAGAAAAACACTTTTCAATCAACATTTTCCTACATTGAAGTTGCTACAGTGGGAACGACGCGGCGGTTTTCCACTTGTTGACTGTCTCTCAAAATTCATCACTCTCAGCTCGTAGAAGACTTCTGTTCTATTAGCCCAGAAGATCTTTACGTTTAAAGGATTGGAATTTTGGATGACGCTCAACAAACACCAAAATCACTGTTTTCTCATAAGTTTACGGCATAGTCTAAAAAGCCCAGCAAAACCCTTCCTTTTCCACTTAAAACATCAGGTGACCGATGGTTGGAACCAGCTCTAGGGATGTCGCAAAGTACGAGAAAATCATCTTTTTTCTCGACATTGTGATTTTCCTTCTGTTTCTTTCGCACTTTGATCAGCTGTTTACAAGAGCCAGCGACCGCTCGCCAATAGACTGTCTTGTCGTGTTGGCTGGCCTATTCAGCTGCATTGAGTAAAAACGAATGATTACACGTGTGGTAAGTAACCTACACAGTCTGAAAATCAGTTAATTATGAAAGTAACACAAGCGGAAGTGGTGAGCAACCCATAGCAAACCACTATTCTGAACGTCTGTTCGAGGTAAATACTTTAAACTATAGCTATGTTTGTACGGTCTGAACCGACTCGACAACTAGGCCGTGTAAACGCATTTGATTTACTAGTATATTTTCTCGTTGAACCTGCTTCTATAGCTGAATAAAAAATGTGAGTGAAAAGAATAGTTATTGTAACCAGCGACGAACATATTACAGATGCATCATGTGCTTTATACAATGTACGTATTCACAAACTGTACCGTGACCAGGCTGCTTAAAATGTTCGCTCTGTCGCGATATATATATATATATATATAAACCTATATTACTATAAAAAAGAGAAATGCACAAATTATGCAGTGGATTTTGGTCAATATCTGTGTAGATTTCACTAGCATGCATCCAGGGCAGAATTTTGAAACGCCCGTAAGCAGTATTAACCGAGAAAGTACTCTTATCTATTTGGAGTGATTGTATTCTTGTATTGACCTTAAGTTTTGTGTACACGGCGGCCCCCAATGTGATGTAAACTTAGTTCTTCACTGTGATTGTGTCAATTTACTGTCAGCGATCATTATGAAAAAGATCGGAGATTTGTAGTAGAATTACATAGCCTATGACTAATTTTGCAGTGTGCTGAATTATTCAGTTTTCGCTGCAGAATAAGTTAAAGATTTCAAACAACAAGCATTCCACTTTGGCATGTTATTGCCACTGGAATTAGCGTTGTATCCGTCTTAGAAGTGTTTGCACCCATGCAAATAAATAGAGGAAAACGTCGGTGGCTCGGTTAGCGTAGATGAACAGAAAGGCGGATGGGACTGTGGAACCCTGCGTGTACCGGAAGGAGACTCATACGGATCAAATACTGAACTACAGCAGCAATCATCCAATAAACCACAGGGAGAGCTGAGTTTAAACCTTATTCAAGACGATGAAGGCACTCTACAGCACCACAGAACTGCAGAAGAGGGAAGTATACCATCTAGAGTACTCCAGAACAATGGATATTCACGGAAGTTTAGCAAGAGAAGCTTGAAGAAAAAGACTATGTGATGTATCAAATGCAACAACCGCAACAAAATCTAAGTCGGACAAACTTGGAGGAGACCATGCACACGAATAAAGGAACGCAACGCGACGCGGCGGAGACATGACACCTCGTCCTTGATATCCATACACGAGGAACAAGAAGGCCGAAAATTCGATTTGGAAAACGCAAAAATTTTGGCATAAGGAGACACGAGACATGGAAGAGAATTTCCGGAATCATGGTACTCCACGCCGGATTCGATCGAACTGGATCCAATTTACGCACCTCTACGTGCGAAAGACCAACATCTTAACCGGAACACTCAAGGGGACCGAATATTGGATTCACAAACAAAGTAACAAGGAACTCCTTGAGGGCAGATCAATAATGGTCACAAGCAGGGAATTGAAAAAACAAAGGTCACTCCAGCATCGACCAGATTACGGCGGCGAGGGATGTCAAGCTCAAAGGTCACGTGGGCATCGGCGAATGGGGACACAGGACAAATGAGCAACCAATGGAACTGCCCGACCGAACACCTGATCGCGATCAAAGGTCATCCCTTGCTATTGACACACGCACAACACTACTCTACGCACAACCACTGCCCACTAGCACGCACCACTACGCAACCCAATGACGCACCGATGATGTCAGCTCGATTGGTGATGAAACGTTTGCTATCAAATTGCCCAGCTAAGTGAACAAGCCAACGACCATGCAAATAAAATTTGCTGTAGGATTCCAATCATCACCTTATACAGAGCATCTTCCAGCGGTAACTATCAATCATTCTGATACAATCGCGAGCGAGAGAAAAGCACTGGCTTCATATACCCTGGATGGTTTATTCCTCGAATTTGGGGAAACGCTGGTTCGGTCAGTTTTTGAGCATTTAGGCGGAAAGCTGAAATTCTCCCATTGACTGGTGTTGCCACGATCGATCAAATACGTTAAAATTGTCAGCAGTTGTGTGAATTAAAGCAATACATTTTGTTACCCAATAATATTTGCGTTTAGCTTCGGGCTTTATGCGAAGAGTTTTTGGCTTTCAAACCAAGGGTAATCTCTTCCAGATAGGGATTCGTATCACTTATGAAATGATAAGGTATTCATCTTTTAGTGATACTTATTTTTTTTGGTTTTAGTTTTGCAACAAGAAAACTGTTCACGGTGACGCCTCGGAAATCAGTGCACGTCGCCAGCAAGGTAAATTTGGGAAGACTTTTTTATGACGGGTCATTTTCATTCACGTGACACTGGACTACGTCACTCGGCCTGCTATGCAGATTGTACCGTGACCAGGCTGCTTAAAATGTTCGCTCTGTCGCGATATATATATATATATATATAAACCTATATTACTATAAAAAAGAGAAATGCACAAATTATGCAGTGGATTTTGGTCAATATCTGTGTAGATTTCACTAGCATGCATCCAGGGCAGAATTTTGAAACGCCCGTAAGCAGTATTAACCGAGAAAGTACTCTTATCTATTTGGAGTGATTGTATTCTTGTATTGACCTTAAGTTTTGTGTACACGGCGGCCCCCAATGTGATGTAAACTTAGTTCTTCACTGTGATTGTGTCAATTTACTGTCAGCGATCATTATGAAAAAGATCGGAGATTTGTAGTAGAATTACATAGCCTATGACTAATTTTGCAGTGTGCTGAATTATTCAGTTTTCGCTGCAGAATAAGTTAAAGATTTCAAACAACAAGCATTCCACTTTGGCATGTTATTGCCACTGGAATTAGCGTTGTATCCGTCTTAGAAGTGTTTGCACCCATGCAAATAAATAGAGGAAAACGTCGGTGGCTCGGTTAGCGTAGATGAACAGAAAGGCGGATGGGACTGTGGAACCCTGCGTGTACCGGAAGGAGACTCATACGGATCAAATACTGAACTACAGCAGCAATCATCCAATAAACCACAGGGAGAGCTGAGTTTAAACCTTATTCAAGACGATGAAGGCACTCTACAGCACCACAGAACTGCAGAAGAGGGAAGTATACCATCTAGAGTACTCCAGAACAATGGATATTCACGGAAGTTTAGCAAGAGAAGCTTGAAGAAAAAGACTTCTCAACAACAGCAACAGCAAGAAAAAGCCACCAGACGGGTAGTACTGCCTTACATCAAGAACATATCAGAACTCGCAACCAGATTATTGGCCCACAAACCGAATGCCACCCCAAGGAAATTAACCTCCGGACCGAAGGACAACTGAGACAAAACCAAGAAGAACAATGTGATGTACCAACTCAAATGCAACAACCGCAACAAAATCTAAGTCGGACAAACTTGGAGGAGACCATGCACACGAATAAAGGAACGCAACGCGGCCTTCAGGAGACATGACACCTCGTCCTTGATATCCATACACGAGGAACAAGAAGGCCGAAAATTCGATTTGGAAAACGCAAAAATTTTGGCATAAGGAGACACGAGACACGGAAGAGAATTTCCGGAAGCATGGTACTCCACGCCGAATTTGATCAACCAGATTCGATCGAACTGGATCCAATTTACGCATCTCTACGTGCAAAAGACCAACATCTCAACCGGAACACCCAAGGGGACTGAATATTGGATTCACAAACAAAGAAACAAGGAACTCCTTGGGGGCAAATCAATAAAGGTCACAAGCAGGGAACTGAAAAACAAAGGTCAATCCAGCATCGATTAGATTACGGCGGCGAGGGATGTCAAGCTCAAAGGTCACGTGGGCATCGGCGAATGGGGACACAGGACAAATGAGCAACCAATGGAACCGCCCGACCGAACACCTAATCGCGATCAAAGGTCATCCCTTGCTATTGACACACGCACAACACTACTCAACGCACAACCACTGCCCACTAGCACGCACCACTACGCAACCCAATGACGCACCGATGATGTCAGCTCGATTGGTGATGAAACGTTTGCTATCAAATTGCCCAGCTAAGTGAACAAGCCAACGACCATGCAAATAAAATTTGCTGTAGGGTTCCAATCATCACCATATACAGAGTATCTTCCAGCGGTAACTATCAATCATTTTGATACAATCGCGAGCGAGAGAAAGGCACTGGCTTCATATACCCTGGATGGTTTTTTCCTCGAATTTGGGGAAACGCTGGTTCGATCAGTTTTTGAGCATTTAGGCGGAAAGCTGAAATTCTCCCATTGACTGGTGTTGCCACGATCGATCAAATACGTTAAAATTGTCAGCAGTTGTGTGAATTAAAGCAATACATTTTGTTACCCAGTAATATTTGCGTTTAGCTTCGGGCTTTATGCGAAGAGTTTTTGGCTTTCAAACCAAGGGTAATCTCTTCCAGATAGGGATTCGTATCACTTATGAAATGATAAGGTATTCATCTTTTAGTGATACTTATTTTTTTTATTTTAGTTTTGGAACAAGAAAACTGTTCACGGTGACGCCTCGGAAATCAGTGCACGTCGCCAGCAAGGTAAATTTGGGAAGACTTTTTTATGGCGAGTCATTTTCATTCACGTGACATTGGACTACGTCACTCGGCCTGCTATGCAGATTGCACCTTTTCGCCAAGTTGATATTTGCATTACCCGTTAAACTCTGTCAAACAGGGTTTGAATATTTAGTCATTAATAGGCTGATTGGGCAACGCGATTTAATTGGCTAATGAAAGCGTACCCTTTTATATTATCACATGAATATGGTAATATCATGTATATTGCTAAATATATATAACAATTACCATCTTAAGCATCTTATATAAACGACACCGACGATGGGTACATATAGCTGAATGTAGAGTAGAACTGGCCGCGGAAACTCGACCCATCATAACACAGCGCTGCGTACACATCTGATCAAAAATGATGCATGAAGATGAATAGATTTCGGATAAGACTTAGCAAAAGCCATCCTGTCACACTTTAGAAAAACTTCTGGCTGTGAAAAATTCGAAGAGTGAGGAAACTACATTGAAATTCTGCAAAGGAATAACGTAGTGAATGGTGCCATTAGCTTCTCTGGATTAAACTGCCTCAAAGCAAGAATGAAGGTAAAATTTTCTGTAAAGTACCGGTACGTACAAGTAGGGCGCATAAGGAGTAACTCGAAATATGCGCTAATCAGCAACGCCATAAAAATATTCTTTGACGAATAAAAAGACAGCCAATCCAGTGTCGCTTGTCCATTAAACAAACTGAATAGTCAATGAAGCTGGCGCTCTTCATCAAAATTCAACAGGGTGACAAACGTTCACTTTAGGACAGCTTATTCAACCAAGAGAAGTAGAGTTCGCTACCTGAAAATGCATGTTTAACATGAAAAGAGGTCTTACAAGTTTGACCTGTCAGTGATTGTGAAACTAGGCGGACAATAAGCAAGGGACTGACAACAGCATGCAGGATGACTCACTCCCAGCACTGAAAAAGCTAAAGGACGCAGTCTTCTACTCACTATTCACAGTGTGACAGATGAAAGAAGTTCTACAGTTTTCTAAAACGACGATCAAGTTTTCACATTAAGGAGATGGAGATGGCTGTTGTTGTCTCGAAATTGGTCTAATTTGTAAAGCGAACAACGTTCATTCGCATCAGGGAAGAAAAGTGCTTGTGAAGAGCAATGCTGATTGCCTAGTTGACGAACGGATATTGGACTTCGTCTCTACTGTGGAAAAGATGTGAGAAAAATGTAAGAACAATGTTAGGAATGGGACCGACGTCATTTAGGAATGTTTGCCGATGGAAATTAGGCAACGCGGAAACACTGCGCAACAGTCTAAGCAAGATCATCTGCCTAGAATAGTAAAAATGACTTGATCATCATTTCATCAAGCTGTATCAGATCAGGTGAAATCCTGATTACAGAATCACAAAACTCCCCGATCAGAGAGCGTCACCAGTCAACTGCGGAAATCCGCAAAATATGCATGATGGAGATGAATAAAACCTTGTATACAGTTAGCAGACCACCAAAATAGGTCCGTCGTTCTACTTCAAAGCAGACTGTTAGCACATGTGGGGTGCCTTTACGTGTATATGCGTGGTCTATGAGGATTTATCAGTGTGACCTCGCTTCTCGTTAACATTCATGTTCTGACATTAACTATTGAAAATCTGAATAACATTATGGCCAGCAACTTGTATCTTCTTCACAGTAGAAGAAAAGGGTTCTTCCTCTTGGACATACTTTATTTCAACAGGAGAAACACCCAAGCAACCT